CCCCGGGACCTCAACCAGTAGCACCAACACACCCCAAGACCTTATTCAAACTTGTTCCAATCATCAAAACACTATCGTTAACATCAAAATCATCGAATTACCACGGATTCAAGCCTAAGTTAAACTAAAACTTCCGAAACTTGCATTTGATCTAAAACCCGTCCTAAACACCTTCGAATGATCTGAAACTTTGCACGCATATTCAAAATCACCTAATGGAGCTACTGCAACTCTCGGGATTCCATTCCGACCCTCGGATCAAAATCTCACCTACCATCCGGAATTCACCAAAATCCAACCTTAGCCAATTCAAGCCTAATTCTACACCGGACCTCCAAATTCAATTCCGACTGCGCTCCTAAGTCACAAATCATCCCCCGAAACTAGTCGAATCATCGGAAATCCATTCCGAGCCTTCTAACTCATAAGTCAACATTCGGTTGACTTTTCCAAACTAACCTTCTCATAAAGAGACTTACTGTCTCATTTCCAACCGAACTCTATCCGAATTACTTCAAATTTTCCAAACACATATAATGAAACATATAGAAGCATAAAACGGGGAAAACGGGGCGGTAACTCCCGTAACGACGGGTCGGGTCGTTACATGCATATTTGACTTATTGAAGCAACTGACATATGTTATTGTATTGTTCTTGAGTAATTCCCCTTTCTGCATTAGCCACTGATTGATTTGCATTATCATCTGCTGTGAGTACAACATTACCATGTACTCCATTCTGAAATCTCTTGTTTTTAGTGAACTTAAAATCTGTAGGGAAACCAATGATTCTGTAGCACCTTTCAGCTGTATGTCCAGGTTTCTTGCAATAGTTGCATATGATATTGTTTCTTTTTCCTTCAAAGTTTCCCTTCTTCTCTGTATTAACAAATTTCTGGGCACCATACTGCTGTTTTGCAGCCATGAAAGCAGAGTCAACTGGATGTTGAGCAACATGAATTTCCTTCTGTTTCTCCTCTTGGATTAACATAGAATAAGCATGATTGATGCTGGGAAGTGGAGATCCCATCAGAATGTTGCTCTTTACCCCAGAGTATGCCTCATTCAGTCCCATGAGAAACTGAATGAACCTACCATCTTGCTGAGATTTGAGAGATCTGCTCTTTCTTCCACAAGAACATTCACAACTGCAATGGACACAGGTATCAAAACTATCCAATTCATCCCAGATCCTTTTGAACATAGTGTAGTATCCAACAACATCAGAATTTCCTTGAACTAAGTCACTAAGTTCCTTTTGCAGTTGATAAAGGAGAGCTCCATTGCTCTGCCCAAACCTGTCCTCCAGCTCCTTCCATATTTCTTTGGCAGTTTTTGAATAGAGAACACTCTCAGCAATTTCTTTGGAGAGTGAGTTCAATAGGCAGGAGATCACCATGTCATTACACATATTCCAAGCCTTAAAAGAAGGAGAAGAAGTTGTTGGCTCAGTGATAGATCCATCTATGAATAAGTTTGTTCTTGGCTGAGAGAGCTATGAAGACAACCCTACGCCAACCTCCATAACTCTTACCATCGAAGATTGAGTTAACAAGCATCATCCCTGGTGATCCTGATGGGTGAAGGTAAAAGGGATGAGAAGAGTCATTAGTGATAGTGGGCTGAATGGACTCAGTAGTGGTGGAAGAACCAGAATCCACAGATGGATTTGCTGGAGGAGGAGGCAAATCAGAGTTTGCCATTAGAGAGATTTGCTAAGAAGCTTGAAGAAGAAGAAAGATTGGATCAAGAACCTTGTTGCTCTGATACCATAATAGAAAAAGGAAGAATTTAGAAGAATTTTCTGATTGTGTATTCATCCGTTCACTGTACATGTGTATATATACAAAGCAAAGAGAATAAAATCTGTTATTCCTATCCTACATGTCTTAATGTTATTGCTCTATGTATAACAAACAAGGAATATGTAAATAAGAATACAACAAATTCTGATATCTATAAGTTTCTCACACTCTTCTCACGTACGTGTGAAGAATTCTCTAGAATTTAGTATTAGTTGCTTGCCAGGTGTCTTTTCTTCAACACAGATGGATGGTTCTGATTCGTTTAATCTCATCAAAGATGAAGGGCTCAGATTCCTTTGATTAAGCAAAGATAAAATGGTCTGATTATTCTTGGATGTATCGAGATTGAACTTCCAAACTCTCTGTTGTCTTTCTTCTTCTTGTCTCTCTAATTCATCTTTGCTTGGTAAATCTATATATGCCTTAGAGAAATTAGAAAAGCTGAGTCCAACATAGGTGATCAAAGAAGAAGTCAAAGTCATGAACGCCCACCTTTTCCACCACAACAAATGTAAATTAATCTTTTGTTACAGCTTCCTTGATGATAATCAATGAGCATTTAAGATTTAAATAACGTTAGGAATACACATATCATTCTTGACCTTTTCTTTGGTTTTTCTTTAGTCTTTGGGTGTGAAAGAGATACAAGGAAATTTTATACATATTCAATAAACTTTTACAAATAAATATAGAATTTAAACCAAACTATTAAATTCGGTCCACTTTAGTCGTGTTTTCTTTTACACTTTCCTTAAGAAACTATCAATAAGAGAGTTTTTTTTTGAATTATTATTGTACTCGTATTTAATACTCTTCACTTTTAAGTTTTCTATGACATGTATTCCCTTAGTTCAGTTTTAGTTGTCCACTTTTGACTTTGCATTCCCTTTAAGAAAAAATAAATCAGAAGTAAATATTTTACAATTTTACCCATAATAATGATAGCATTTCCGAAAGTTTTGGGAGATAATTTTGGGACTGAGTAATGATAAGGGTAAAACAAGAACAAAAAATTGTATTTTTCTTGATGTAGTATAGTGGACAAGCAAAAGTGCATGGAGAGTAATCAATATTTTTATTACAGTCAGACCTCTCCATAACAACATCCCTATATAACAACACTTCACTATAAAAGCCAAGCTTTTTCTGAACCAATTTTCATATTATGTTATAATACATGTTCTCTATTACTTCACTTCGTTATAACATCAAAAAATATTCGGAACAAACGAGGCTGTTATCAGAGGCGGATCCAGAATTTTGGTAGGATGGGTGCACTATTAAGAAGACGTTGATCCAGAATATAAATTTTACGGGTTCAACCTTTAGTTCTTACGATTGCGTACCCATTGCACTTTTGAGATTATAAGTTCAAAATTATTATTTTTAAAAAATAGTAATTTTCTTACATCTATATCTACTTCCATGTTAAAAATATTGAGATCGGTCGAACCCATTGACTATATGCTACATCGTACACTACTACTAATTTTAATATACACATTTTGTTTAATCATATAAGATTTTACAACGACGAAAGAAGAATAGGAATTTCAATGTGTGAAAATTTTGAAAGAATAAACCAAACAAAAAAAGAAATAAAAATAAAAAGTACTTAATTAATACGCAAAATATAACACCAGACACGCCCACCTCCCGTGGGCGTCTACTTCTAGAAAAAAAAAGAAAAAAATAACAAGATTAACATAAGATTTAAACTCACAACCTCACCTAGAGAGGTACATCCAACAACCATCATATCATATAATAAATTGAGCATGGGTGCAAACACATATATTTAAATATTTTTGAAAAAATATAGCATTATCATACATGATTTAGGGCGGGGAGCATCGGTTCACGTGCCCCATGGAATCCCTCCTAGATACGCCCTGCCTGTTATAGAGAAGTTTGATTGTATTAAGAACATTTAATACTAAGAGCAAAATGGAAAAAAAATAATTAATTATACCTTGATTTTCTAAAGTAATAGTAACTATTTTGGACCAGATATTTAATAACCCCGACAGCTAATATGGACTGAAGGGAGTAAAAAACAACCTACTCCCTGCATATATGGACATATATATATATATATATGTATAACTCTGTCAGTTACACATACAAAGAGATTAACGGGGGTTGGATTCCCCGTAGTTCTTACAATTACTTAACAAAAGAACGAAAGAAAAGAATCAAATTTCAAGTTTGTTTGGAGCTTTAATCTGTTAGATTCTGATCAATGCTTCTCTTTTTCTGATAGGAGAAAACGATAGATGAAAAGATAAAATAGAGGATAAAAGTTAAAATAAATTTATTTCAGATATTCAGATGTCACTCCTTATTCCAAACAAGAAATAATAATAATAGTAAGAAAGAACATTGTTACTACTATTCATTAAATTCTACGTAATTTTACAGCTGAGTTTATTATTATTATTATTATTATTATTTTTTTTTTTTTTTTTTTTTTTTTTTTTTTTTTTTTTTTTTTTTTTTTTTTGTGTGTTAGTCTTATTTATGGGATGCAGGTTCTCCACTATATTTACTGTTATAAACAAATAATTACTGGGTTTCTAAGAAGAAGAAAAATAAAATAAATCAAGATAATTGAATTAAAAAACGAGAGAAAAAAGAACCAAAAAGAAATAAATAAATAATTAATAGGAGCAAATAAAGAAAAATGTCACATGACTATTATTTTATTTGTTAATTTTTAGCTGTCATATGCCATAAAGAGAGTGAAGCTACTCTCCGCGACATTCCATTGGGATGTTAAATACAGAATATTAAGGGGTAATCTAAACCTCCAATAATTTAAGTATGAAAATAGCAAAACAGTTTTTTTTTTTTTTTTTGGAGGTGGGGGGTGGGGATTTAATGTATTTTTGACCATGCATGTTGATCGTTGTTTTGCCTTTAATTTCACATGGGAAGATACATTATAGAAGCGCTATGATATGTAAAACACTTTAAGAGAGAAAAATATAATTCAAAGGATATGGCAATAGAAAGAAAATCGATTGTACATGTGGTGGGAAGTTGTGGATGGACTGAATTAAATTACTATTTGGACCAGCCAAGAAAGTTAATTAAGACACATTTGAAGAGGAAGATTGTAAAAGATTTCTAATAAAGTTAAGCACGCATGCATTGTTTCATACACTTTCATATAAGCAATTTATTGTTTACTTAAAATGTAGGTTAGAAGTGAATGGAAATGGGAATATGTGCTAAAGGAAGGTATAAGATGAGTAGAGCTAGCATAAATAATAAAGGCACCCAAACTGATTTCATTTCATTTCATTACTTTTACTACTTTATCTCTCATTTCATTTCATTCATCCTTTTACTGATTTCTCGATTCGTGAAAAGCAACCACTAATGTTTGCTTAAGGTAGATTGTCTATATCAAACTTCATGGGATGCGGTCCCAAATCCTGCATGAATACGAAATGTGCTTTGTGCATAGGGTTGTCCCTTTACTATCTTCTGGGCTCTGAAAAAGGACCCTTTTCGAATAAAAAGTATTGATCGATAAACTCCCAAACACTAAAAAGGATTTATGTCAAATTTCACATTTCCTATTAAATTTTAACAACCATAGTTTGTTAAATATTTGACAAAAATAAAAAATGCACATTTTGACAAATTTAAAGAATTATAAAACTGCTCAGAAGAATATTTAAAGGGACTATTTTGAACTCACCCCAAATATAACAGACTTTTATATTATATTTTCAGTTTCTCTGAGTTAGCGCACTTGATAATGACGGAGGAGAGGTTTCACTAATCGAGCCGACTGGTCCTGCAAAGAGAAGCCACAACACCATAAAAAGAGCAGCTTGATCAATAGCGAAAGAACAAAATGAAAGAACACAAAAAGTGAAAAAAGGAAACTCATTGAAGGAAGATGTGCTCTTTTTTTGATTCCAGATGTTTGCTCAAAATTTATCACATACCTTATGAGTATAAAACAATATAAATAAATTACGGGAAAATCATAGCAAACCGTAATAATCCGTGGGACCAAATGAAGGAAACGAAAATAAGTACTCAGGATTAGGGGGAGAAACATTAGAAGCCTTTATTGATAATATTGGTTTCGTCTGCCTCTCCATGAAGAGGTTCAGAGCCTTACAATGGTGTTCCTTTTGCCCATAATATGGGTCTCGTTATCTCTTTTTTCGCTCTCAATAGTGAAGAAGAAGAAGCCCCCCTTTCTAGGGTTTCCTCTCTTGGTATTTATAGCTGTGAGCTTCGTGAGCTGGCAATAAGTGGCCGTGACCACATTGGGATTTCGCCTTCATGGTGGCGGATGGGGCATGGCCTTGCTGATCGAATCAGATGAGGGTTGAATATCGTTAATTCTGAGTGGTCGTGCCACTAATTAATCATGAATTAGCTTAAGACGGGATTAGCTTCGTTAATTATCGTGGAATGGGCGATGCAAAGGGGAATCCGGAAGAACTGGCCATTTTCGGCAATGGGCGATGCAGAACTGGTGGAGACAGGTGAAGCTCCGTCGGTTGACGAGATAGTACCTCTGCCCGGAGGTCCGATGACTGATTTCACCGCCGATGGTGGGGAGGATCAGGTGGATGAAGCCCCATTAATGGGGGAGATTGGGATGTCCCGACTACGGGGACAGGGGGTCATCCCCGGCTATGCTGACGTCATTCTCGCTAGAAGCGAGGAGAGGGTCCACACCGACCGTAGGGGATACTGCGTCTTTTACGCCTACCCCTTCAAGTTGGGGTTTAAGCTCCCGCTCCCAATGTTGGTGGTTGATTTCTGTCGTTATTACGGGGTGTGCCCGGGTCAGCTTGCTCCTTCTCTTTAAAAATTGCTAGCTATGTTTATCAAATATGTAGAACTGGCCGGTAGGGAGGTCACGC